AAATATCCACAGAGATAAATAAATAGAAACCATAGGATGGAAAAAGGTATGGAGGAAGAAGCAAAAACAGAACTTGTCCAGTGAAAATACACATTTGTTGAAGCAGAAACACACTGAACAGGCTGAACATAGACAAGCCACTGGTAAAGAGAAAAATAGGGAATTGGAAGTCAGATCTGAAAAAAGTCAGATCTAGAAATCACAAAGATAGAAATATAAAAGAAAAAAGACTTAAAGCACAAAGAAGCCATCGAGTAGAGGTTTCTGAAGTAGAAGCTTGTGAGTAGAATATTGGTAGAAATTTCATTGAACAGACATCTTAAAAATTATCAAATTATACAATAGAAGGACAGAAACATAATGTATAAATTATAAAACATAAAGAAGTACAGAGAAAATATGTCCAATTATCAGTAATCATAATAAATACAAATGGATTAAACATGCCTATTGAAAGATAGAGATTCTCATATCAGATAGAGTGGGGAAGGAAGACAAGGCTGTATAAAGCATAATGATCCAGAAAACGTGAACATAAAGAGATGGAAGACAACGTACCAAAAATAAATTGTCATAAGAATTAAGTGAAGCACACCTGTAATCCTAGCACTTTGGGAGGCCAAGGCAGGTGGATTGCCTGAGCTCAGAAGTTCAAGATTGGCCTGAGCAAGAGTGAGACTTCATCTTGAAAAACCTAGCCAGGTGTTGTGGCAGGCGCCTGTAGTCCCAGCTACTTGAGAGGCTAAGGCAAAAGAATCTCTTGAGCCCAAGAGTTTGAGGTTCCTCTGAGCTGTGACACCATGACATTCTACCAAGGGTGACAAAGTGAGACTCTGTCTCAAAAAAGAAAAAAAAAATAATTGAAGTAATGTTTATGAGGTCCAACAACTAAGTTTGTGAATGTGCCACTGTGCACTTATATTGGCAGCACTGTACAGACAACTCAGTAAGGCTTTACAACCTTGATATATCAGTGTCTCATAGCTGTGTTCATGTCAACATGTACTGTGCAGTGTTAATTATTGTTGTTGCATGTTTTTGTGTGCCATCCCGTGTCAATCTTGGACTTGAATTAGAGCAATGAACAAATATTCGTAAATTTTATTAAATTTGGCAAGGGTGGAAGTGAAATCAGAGACATAATAGCCCAAGTTTATGGAGATAAATGGCAGTGAACAAATGGATAAAACATTTTTCTGAGGGGAGAGAAAGTGTCACTGATGAAGAGGGGTTGCTGGGGGCTAAAAATGAGTAGAACTAATGAAAACATGGCAAAAATTTGTTGAATCATGAATCACAACCATCAACTTACTGTGAGAAGCACAGCTGACCAAGTAAATATTGATAGAGAA